TCTGATACGGGGTAATAACTACATATATCAGGAACTCATACAACTCAGCAACAAAAACAACAACAAAAAATCCAATTTAAAAATGGGCAGAGGGGCTGAATAAAAACATCTAAGAAGACATAAAAATAGCCCACAGATATATGAAGAGATGCTCAATGTCACTAGCTATCAGGGAAATGCAAATCAAAACCACAATTAGCTACCACCTCACACCTGTTAGAATGGCTATTCTCAAAAAGACAGGTAATAACAAGTGTTGGAGAGGTTGTGAAGAAAACGGAACCCCCATTTCCTGCTGGTGGGAACGTAAACTGGTACAGCCCCTATGGAAAAGAGTGGAGGTTCCTCAAAAAATTATGAATAGAGTTATCATATGACATAACAATCCTCCTCTGGGAATCTACCCAAAAGTTTTGAAAACTTTTATTCACAAAGATAGATGCACCCCTATGTTCATTGTGGCATTGTTCACGGTGGCCAAGACATGGAGACAACCAGTGATTGGACAGAGCACATATTTACAATGGAACACAAGTCAGACGTAAGAAAAGATGAAATACTGCCTTTTCCAACAACACAGATGGACCTTGCGTAAATCATGCTAAGTGGAAAAAGTCAGGAAGTATATGATTTTACTCATACGTGGCATGCAGAACTGAAAGCACCAAATGAACAAACAAGAAAAGCGAACAACCCCTGGCTGGCGTAGCTCAGTGTATTGAGTGCGGGCCTTCAAACCAAGGGATCATGGTTCAATTCCCAGTCGGGGCACATGCCTGGGTTGTGAGCCAGGTCCCAGCAGGGGATGCACAAGAGGCAACCATACGTTGATATTTCTCTCCCTCTCCCTCCCTTCCCCTCTAAAGATAAATAAATAAAATCTTGAAAATAAAAGAAAAGAAAGGTGAACAAAAACTCAGACGCAGACAACAGTAGGATGGTTACCAGAGGGAAGGGGGAAAAGTCGTAAAGGGGAAACAGGTTCAAATACATGGTAACAGAAGATGACTTGACTTTGGGTGGTGGACACACAACATAATATACCAATGATGTGCCATAGAATTGTATACTTGAAACCTATATAATTGTATTCACCAATGTCATGTCAATACATTTAATAAAACATGTTAAAAGATCTTAGACTTCTAAACAAAAAAAGACTGGACCTCAGGCTTCCTGACACTTAATGCAGTTCTTTTTTCATAACAGCAGGTTGTAACTGCAGTCAAAGGTCTACCAAGGAACTTCTTTCTCTTCGCTTCAGTCTCCTTCCTGATAAAAAGACTACTATAGAGAACCTCTTGTAGAGAGGTACTAAAAAGCTAATACTGCCTGGAGAAAGGGAAAGTTAAGCATGGAAATGAGCAAGGCTTGGTCTTGATTAAACCTTGCCTTGTGACATGTCCTGGGCCACTATTCTACCCAGTCCTTTGCCTGCAGAAGCTGCCATCAAGCACTATGACCTCCCCCAGCAGGGTCTCCCTAGGACCTGCTGAAACACTGGTGAGGGCCTCTAAGCTGGTGTCTCACTGGCTGAAGGGGAGCAGTGATTCTGTAACCCTGGAACTTGAACTTCTAATAGCCTGTCTTCTCGATTCACAGGACAGCTTGGGCACTATTGAGCGGACCCAGGATTCCGAAGGCTCCTTCAAACTGGAGGATCCCACAGAGGTGACTCCAGGACTGAGCTTCTTCAACCCCGTCTGTGCCACTCCGAACAGCAAGGTAAGTAGACCGAAAGGCAGCCGTTTCCAGCTGTGTTATCGTCCATCTCAGCCTCGGTTCTGACAGAGAGTGGTGGGGGGAGGGGAAAGGTATACTCTGCTGGTTGGGAACTGGGAATGAGACATAGGCTGGAGTCTGGTTCCTCCCACAGAGGAGTCTTAGGGGACGCCGTGTACTACCGGGAGCATGCAGAGCCTTTGTGGGGGCCAAGCTGGGCTGAGCCTCTGCCCCCACCTGAGATCTTGTCAGACCTGTTTCTGTCCTTCCTAGATCCTGAAAGAGATGTGTGAGGTGGAGCAGGTTCTGTTAAAGACCGCTCCAAATGCCTCCTCCCTCAGCCTCCCAGAGTTGAAACATGTCACCACAGAATCCCAAGAAAATAAAGCTCCAGGGAAGAAAAAGAAACGAGCTCTGGCCAGCAACATGAGCTTCTTCTCGGGCTGCTCCCCTGCTGAAGAAGAAGTCCACTGAGCTTGGGCTCATTGCCTCTGCCTCATTCTGTCTTGGGAGATGTGTTGCAGTTGCAGCCAGAGGGTTTGGGGTTTTTTTTTAATGACTCTTCTAGATTTCAGGTTTCCTGCTGTTGTAAAAAGGGGACAGCGTGTTACTGGAAAGGAAGGAACATTTGTTGGACTACCATTCTCTCTAGAAGGGTGCTAAGCCACTTACTGAGGAGCGAACCAACTGACCTTCCTTCTGACTCTCAGGAACCAGTCCCCCCCCCACCCCGTACAATCTAGCTCCTTCTGATTCTCAAACAGTGAAGGCTGTCTCCCAGTGGGGGTGAGGTGGCCAAGGCTGTCTTATCTCTGGGTTGTCTCAGCTTAATGGCAGAGCCCGGCCTAGGGGGTCGGGGGGTGGGGAGTAGGATGGAGACCAGCACCAGTCCTTCACCCCCACCTCAGGAAGGGGTTCTCCGTGGTGCTGAGGTAAATGAAACCTCTAAAAATGTTAACATTTTAATGATGTAAATAAATAAATAGATAAATAATAAAGCTTAGTGTCACTGCTGTTTGCAAAGGCCCTTCTGTGCTCCACTTTCAACCTGCGCTCCTCAGCCCCTAGGAAGTCCATGAAGGACAAGTCACGCAAGCCACCAGGGCCTCACTGCTTTGTCGCAGCCCCTGTCCCCCCCGAGGGGTGTACGGAGCACCATGGTGTGTCTTCATCGCTCTGCCACCTTAGGAAATCAGAATCCCACCAGCAAAGCCTGTGGCCGGATCTCCACTGCACAGCCTACCTGGACTCTGGACTTGGGAAGAAGGGATCATATGTACACACTAAGCATCTGCGTGCGCCTGCCAGAGTTTAATTTGAAGTCACAGAGTTAGTAATATAGCTAGGACTTGAACCCAGGTCTAACACCAGAACTTCCTGTATGACTGGAGTGGCAGTGGTGACGTCCCCTGCAGCCTGACTTCTTGGAGCAGAGCGTGGGGCTGCACTTCTCCTTTGAAAGGGGAGTGGAGGGCCTCGGCTCGCTCCTTACTCAATATCAGTGCTCTCCATTTCCGCTTACCACAAAAAAAAGGGGCCAGCCCTGGAATGCCAAATGCTGGTTGCTGACTGGCCTTGCAGACTTCTGAGGAGTTTGCAAGCCCTGGGCAGCCTCTCGTATCCATACATTCTGAATCCTAGCTGCCCCCCTCATGGCACCCATCAGAACTTGGCACATGAAAACCAAGACTCCTCTAGAATCCACCAGAGCCAAGCAAAGGAAAGTGGAGGAGGCCCTGCTGAGAATGAGGCCTGCAGGAGCGCTGGGTGTCCCCTCAACCCTCGCTGGCCTCCTGCCAGCAAGCAGCCCTGCTTCTCTGCATTTTAATGTCGAAGGAGCAGGAGAGCCCCTGCCATTGCCAACTAGAGCCCCTGGATACAATGGGAAGGCAGAGAGGGAGGGGAGCTGTCTCTTGGCATAACAGTCTTCCTTCTCCCTGTTGCAGACCCAGTGCGCACTGGGGGAGGGGAAACAGCTATCCCCAGAGAGGCATCCTGTCCCACCAACACAGAGCTGTCCCATAGGCTCCGAGCCACCACATTGGCCTAAAGGGAGACAGGGGAAGGTCCTTCAAGGCAGCCCCCAACCCCCGTTCCGCCCAGAGCCCTGTGCTGTAGCGCTAAGCTGACTGCAAATGCTAGCCAGCCCTCTCTGCCACTGGTGTAGTGACAGCATCTTTTGTATGTCGTGGACAAAAAAAGGGACCACTGTGACACCTGACCAGCTCAGGAGAGACCTTCCCGGCAGCCTTACGAAAGCAGAGACCAAAAGTAACCACATAGGGCTGTCTGAATATGAAAACTCTTAAAAGTGGGTAGTCATATCCTAGGCCTGTAACCTCCTTGACATAGTCAGTCTTTACCTTAAGTAAGCCTGTCTGTTGTCTTTTGTGCATTTTTGTAATGTCAGGAGTAATCAAGTTTCCTGAAGCCACAGGACACACCCACTGCATTAGAGATCATGGCCCCTCACTGTTCTCTTGTTCCCCACATACCGTCTCTATGTGCTGTAAATGTGAGTTGTTTACTATCCTGTGGCCACCAATGTAAAGGGAATATGTGCCTCTGTTTTACTTTTTATCTAACCTCAGCGATATCCCCATTTGGCTTTCTCCTGACCCCTTAATCTACCACCAATAGAGTTCGTGTAACCCTCATTTTGTCTCTTCCTTTGATTTTCATGTATAAAATAGGCTGTAAAACTGCCACTCTGCTGAGCATTTTCTCAGTCCCTTGAGATCTTGCTTCCCAGCAATTGTCAGTTTGGCTCCAAGAAACTAATAAAAATTCTCTATAGGTTTGAATGTTTGTTATGTCAACAGTGTGTTCATCTTTCAAAAGCCTGTGACCCTAACACCATACCCTCCTCAGATATTCTTGGAAGGAGACTTGAGATACTTTGGAGATAAGGCAGCTGAAATCCTGAGTGAGCATATCCTGTCTGGGGTGATGGAGTGGGCAAGGAGCATCTATCTACAAGGCCCGTGGGGACCCCTGGCCTAGAAACGGGGTGACCTGCTGTCCAGATTTCAGGAAGTAACTTGCATTTTTCTCTTCACCATGTACTTTGCAGAAGTAGAAGTAGGCTCCCAAGAGGAAAAGGAGACTGATGAACCAAGGCTGTCCTCCCATGAAGCTTGACACCAAATGCTGGACTCCCTCACACGCACACATCCCCTCCCAGGGGGGCTGGCTGGGCCCCTTCTCCTCTGCCAAGCTGCAGAGCTGTGTGGTCACCTCCCCCAGCTTCCCTCCCGCCTGCCAGTGTGCCCTCAGCCCTCTCCTCCCTGAGCCAGGACAAAGCCCCGGCAGTGAGTGAGTGGAGCAGGAGGAGGGACAGAGGGATGGGGAAGGCTGCACAAAAGAATTCCTCACCCCAAAGCCCCCTGACCGGCAGCAGCAGCGAGTAAAGAAGCAGATCTGCTCTCCCTCCTCCCTCCTCCCTCCCATCTTCCCACCCGGCCTGGGCACAAGCCAGAGAGCAGCTGCAGGCGGTCAGAGAGGCCCTCGGAGAGGTGGCACTGTCAGCTTCCTATAGGTGGCAACAGTAACACCTGTTTGAGTGGTGAGGCTGAGCGGAACACTGACACAGGGAGGAGACAGACAACTCGGACAACTCGGAGAGGAGCTGGGAAGCAGTGCAGAGCACAGAGCAGAGCTGCCGCTGAGAGAAGGTGTGAGGGCCCCCGGGAAGGCTGGGGGCTAAGGCGGGAGCAGCCAGCGGGTGGGCGGGTGGAGGTCGGCTCCAGCCGGCAGGGATTGGATAGCATCCTTGCTCAGCCCCCCTGACTGGGGTTCTCAGGCTGCTCAGACCTGACCCCATCCTCCAGACAGCTCCTGGAGGCCGGTGACACTCCCGCAGGCAGTGTGTGGGGTACAGGGGCAGGACCTGAGGGGAGGCAGGAGGTGCGGATGGAGCCCAGGGCAGGCTACCACAGCCCAGCTCCAGGGTGGACAGAGGCAGGGCCACCCTTTGGGGTACCGTTTTCCTGGGAGGAGACTCAGGGAGCAGACAGGTTTCCTTCTGCAGGCTCAGGCCCCCACCCCTCCACGTCCTGTGCAAACCTCCTTTCCCAAGACAAGCATAGGGTAAGGAGGGCAGTTTGGGGAGCAGCCACACCCTTCGTCCTTTCAGGAGCCCAACCATGGTATGCCTGCTAAGACTCCACAGCCTCAGGAGAGCCCCAAAGACAAGGGGTGGTGTTGCATAGAACGCAGGTATTTGGGGTGTAGTCAGGAGCTCCTTTACACACCCGGGGTCATCGACAACCCCGTTTGTACTGCCCGCCACTAGTGCACATGCAGGTACAAATGGTGACACAAATCGCACACCCTCTTCTGGATGATCAGCATTGCACACCCAGCTTAGTTTGGGGATGAGTAAGCCCGGTCAGCCTCAGCCTGACTCAAAAGCACAAGGTACAGAGATCATCTGTCCCAAGGCAGCCTCACCACCCATACCTTTGCCCTCTATTTGTTGCACTTTCACCTTAGGGACCTCAGAGAGTGGGAACCCTGAAAGCCAGGGAGGTGGAGACTGGGTTCTCCTGGCTGGGGTGGAGGGACAGCTGGGCAGGAAGCAATGGGACACGGGAGGAGAGCTTGGACTTGGCCATGTGTGCGTGGACAGGAAAAGAATAGGAGTGACCCAGGCTGCATGTTGCCATTTTCTTGTTATTGGCTGTGCCCCCTGCCCCCGGGAAAGTGGAGACCAAAGGTGGAGATCTTTCAGTCAGGGCTTTGTGAGGTGTACAATCTGTATCCATAACAACTGGCCAACTAGCTAGGCCTCCCCTCTGCCCCAGGTTGGAACTGTCACTCCTGCTTGAAGTTACTCTTGATCCCTGACGTGGAAGCTTGGCCTGATGTGACTCAACTTGCTGCACTGAGTTTGCCCCACCCCAGGCAGTTTCTCTGAAGTCCCCACCCTGGGCGGGCAAGCCATGTATCCCCAGAGCTGAGATGCTGTTCATTAGCAGTGATTGGGTGTTCAGCCTGCCAGCAAACAGGCTGGACTTCCCAGGTGTCCCACTGACTGAGCAGGTATCCAGATTAAAAGGAAAGAAAGGCTGGAGATTGTCCCCAGGGCTCCTCACATACACTAGGAAGGAGGCTGCAATCTGCCTTCTACCAAGGTCCCAGCCGGTGGAGTATCCCCTCCCACAGGCCAGCACCATGGCCGATTCCCCCAGCTGCTGCTCCACGTGGGCCCGCTGCCTCCGCTGCCTGTATAGCTGCCACTGGAGGAAGTGCCCCAAAGAGAGGAGGAAGAGCAACCAGGTGGAGTGGGGATGGGGAGGGTGGGAGTCCAAGGCTGGGGCCACTTGGAGGGGAGGAGGCCAAGGTGGCCAGCTCGCTCAGAGGCAGCTGAGGGGTGGGGGGAAGGGGCTTTCTCTCCCCAGGAGGAAAAATCTCTCCAATATGGGAAGAGAGTGTCCCCAGTGCCGGCCAGGAAGTGCCCTTGAGTTGCTATCCATTGGGGACTGAGCTGGAAGTTGGAATCCACTGTGAGCTTCTCTCTTGCCCCTTTACAGTGCGAATGTTTCTGGTTTGGCCTGCTCTTCCTCACCTTCCTTGTCTCCCTGGGCTGGCTGTACGTCGGGCTCATCCTCCTCAATGACCTGCACAATTTCAATGAGTATGTCATGGACGCCACACCCCTGTGCCCTTCCCTTCCCCCTGCCCCCATCTCAGCATACATGTGAACCTACTCCTCACCCTGGGACCCCTGGGTGCTTAGTCATCCCCAGCCCTGCCCAGCTCTCCTGCTACTTAAACTCCTCTGCCAAATCTCCCCAGTCCTGCAATTCCTGGCCCTGTGAAGGGCTGCCCCTTATTCCCTTCCGGTCCTCCATCTGGGTCTGCCCACCCCGACTCCCCTCAGGCCTCTGTGCACACCCCTTCCTGCACCCAGAGCCCTCTCTCCCCTCCCACAGATTCCTGTTTCGCCACTGGGGACACTGGATGGACTGGTCCCTGGCATTTATGCTTTTCGTCTCTCTATTGGTCACATATGCATCTCTGCTCTTGGTGGGTTGGGGGTTGGGGCGGTGCTGGCCTAACCACCACCTCAGCTGATCCTCCCTGCTCAGCTCTACCCTGTCCCACTGTGGGGAGGGGAGGAGGGAGGTGTCAGCCTGTGAAGCCTGCCTCAGTGACCCACCTCTCTTGGCGCCTCATTGCTCCCACACCCCTGTGCCCCCCCAGCTCCTGGCTGTGCTCCTGCGGCTCTGTGGCCAGCCTCTCCATCTGCACTGTGTGCACAAGGTAGAGTGGGAATGGGAGTGAGTGGGAGAGGGGGCCCCTGGGCCCAGCATTTGGCTGGCGATTTGCCGAAGACCTCACCATTCCATCCCTGGCCTCACACTCAGGATCTGAAGCCCAGTAAATATTTGCTAAATGCAAGAAGGGCCCTGGCTTGTATGGCTCAGCAGATTGAGCATGGGCCTGCAAACAGAAAGGTCGCTAGTTTGATCCCCAGTCTAGGGCACGCACGTACCTGGGTCACAGGCCAGGTCCCCAGTAGGGGCTCATGAGAGGCAACCACTCATTGATCTCTCTCTCCCTTTCTTCTTCCCTTCCTTCTCCTCTCTAAACGTATAAATAAAATTTTAAAGAGAAGGATGGAAAGTGGAGGAGTCAGGGGAAGGGAATGGTCCTGTTCTCATAGAGTGCAGGGCAGCCCAGGTGGCCATGAACCAGGGGTTAAACAGAAGGCCCCCTTCATCCCCGGGTCCCCCAGGTGCTGCTGTTTCTCATTATACTTCTTGTGGCCGCCGGCTTTGCAGTACTGGGTGTCCAATGGCAGGAGGAGTTGCTTAGCTTACATCTGTCACTACAGGTGAGTGGCTGGCTGATCCCCAGTCCCTGGGTGAGAGCTGTGGCCTGGGGTCAATTTCAGAACCTATCTGGCTCCCTGGTTCCCCAGGACAACAAGTAGCTCTGAACTCCAAAAGTCAGGTCCTCCAAGGAGAAAGGAGAAGAGCCCTCCTCACCAACTCTTACCCACAGGCCACAGCCCCATTCCTTCACATTGGAGCTGTTGTTTGCATTACCATCCTGGCCTGGCCTGTGGCAGATGCCTTCTACCGTATCCACCAAAGAGGTGCCAACTGTGCTCCCCTACACACCCTCGCTGGCCGCCCTTGCTTCAGCCTCCTGCTGCCCAATTCCTGCAACTGCCCTCTGCTCCCAGCCCCCCAAGCTCACCCAGTGCCCTCTCTTTATAGCATGTCCCCCACTCCCCACAGGTCACAAGATTGTGCTACTGTTCCTATTTTTTGGAGTTGTCCTGGCCATCTACCTGTCCCCCCTGTGCATCTCCTCACCCTGTATCATGGAATCCAGACACTTACCATCCAAGCCTAAGCTAATGGGGCACCGAGGGGCCCCCATGGTGAGCGTGGGCAGAATGCTGGCAAGGCAGGGAAGGTCTGCAGCAACCAGATCTGTGGGTTCCTGGGCCCCCACCCTTCCCAAAGACCTCCTCGGCAATTCCCTTTCCCAGCTGGCCCCTGAGAACACCCTGATGTCCCTGAGGAAGACAGCTGAATGTGGAGCTTCCGTGTTCGAGACCGATGTCATGGTCAGGTGAGGGAAGTTGAGGTGGGGGGGGGGTGATTGCTAACAGGCACAGCAGGGGAGCTCCAGAAATGGGAGCAGCCCCAGAGCTTGGCCCTCTGACACCCCTTGTGCCCTCAGTTCCGATGGGGTCCCGTTCCTCATGCACGATGAGCGCTTGAGCAGAACCACAGATGTGGCCTCTGTGTTTCCGACCCGCATCACCACGCACAGCAGCGACTTCTCCTGGGCAGAACTGAAAAGACTCAACGCCGGAGCCTGGTTCCTGGAGGTGAGGACAGTATCTGTCCAGCAGGGACATTCAGGGCAGAGTTCCTTCACTGATAAGTAATTGCCGAGCCCTGTGCTGGGCAATAGGTGTACAGTCACCCCTCCGAGGCCACTCCCTTCTGGTAAATAAAAACTGAGCTAGGGCAACAGGTTATCAGAGTATGAAACCCAGAGGGATGACAGTGTGGTCGCTGAATAGAGACGTCACTGTTTGGCATAGTGGCTGTGGGCAAGGGTCAGGCGAAGTTTCACAGGAGAGGATGCCTAAGCGGTTTTTTAAGACAGACAAGGCAGGAAATGAGAATTCTGGTCAGAGGCAAGAGCGCAGCTAAAGCCCAGAAGGATGAAGAAGCGTTTTCCAGGGGACACAAAAGTAGCTTGGTGGCACCAGAGATAAAACTCAGGGGAGCAGGGGTAGGGGAGGCTGGTGAGGGGAGTTTGGTGAGGGGAGCAGAGGCTTGGTCTTGGAAGGCTTCAAAAGCCAGGCCCACAAATGTGGACTTCAGTCCTGCAAGTGATGGAGTCCGCTGCAAAGGATACTTAATTTTTTCAGTTCCTTCTGTCCTTGTAAAAACAGAAATCAGAGAAATAACCTAGAAATGGAAAAGTCACAAATTCAACCCTTCTAGATAGTCACTGTTAACAGTTGGTTTCGTATTCCATATGTACCTGTTTTCAAGCACACAGATAAATGCGCACACACATATGTACTTTTTATTTTGTACAGATAGGACCGCTTCACATATTCTTTTGCAACTTTCTTTTTAAAAATTTTTTATTGTACTTTTCCATTACCATTTATCCTCCTTATAACACCCCCCCTGCAATCACCACACTGCTGCCCATGTCCATGAGTCCTTTTTCCTTTTTGCTTGATCTCTCTACCCCCAGTCCCCCCAACAGCTGTCATCTGCTCTCCATCTGTAAGTCTCTGTTTTTCTTGTTAGTTCAGTTTGTTCATTAGATTTCACATATGAGCGAATCATATGGTATTTGTCTTTCTCTGATGGGCTTATCTCACTTAGCATGATGTTCTCCAGGTCCATCCATACTGTCGCAAAGGGTGATATTTCTTTCTTTTTATGGCTGAGTAGTATCCATGGTGTACATGTCCCTTAGTTGTTTTATCCACTCATCTACTGACAGGCACTTGGGCTGCTTTCAAGTCTTGGCTATTGTAATAAGGCTGCAATGAACATAGGGGTATTTCTATTCTTTGGAATTAGTGTTTTGGGTTTCTTCAGACATAGTCCCAGGAGTGGAATTGCTGGGTCAAAGGCAGTTCCATCTTTAGTTTTCTGAGGAAACTCCATACTGCTTTCCACAGTGGCAGCACCAGTCTGCATTCCCACCAATGGTGCGTGAGGGTTCCCTTTTCTCCACACCCTCGCCAGCGCTTGTTGTTTGTTTACTTGTTGATGGTAGCCATTCTGACTAGTGTGAGGCGATTTTAACTCTTTACATAATGACACATCAGATTTGAAGAGCAAGGGATGTCTCGGTTTGCATCCTGGCTTGCTTCAGCACTTCCCGGCTGCGTGAGCCTGGGTAACATTCTTTAGTCTCTCTGTGTTTCATTTTCCTCATCTGTGAAATGGGAATAATAATAGTACCTTGTATGATTATTGGGAGGACTGAATAAATGAATACACATAAAGTACTTTGTTTATCTCATATTTTTGTATTCGTTTATTGGCTCATGTAAATATAGGCTTGTGGGGTCTTGTTTTACACAATGAGTTATATTTATTATGACTATGCTCACATTTCCCGCTGGCGACAAGTTTACCTAATATTCACTTATCTGGAAAAGCCTTTTTTTCCACCATTATTTTCTATTAGGGCTTTATTTAGAAGCGTGAAAGTATGTATTAAGAGAACAGGTGTGTTGTCTCTCTTTTTTTAATACTTTTTATTGAGTTTATTGGGGTGACATTGGTTAATAAAATTATATAGGTTTCAAGTATACAATTCTACCATTCATCATCTGTATATTGTACTATGTGTTCTCCTTCCATCACCATTCATCCCCCTTTACCCTCTCCTACCTTCCCCCCACCCCTTTCCCTCTACTTATCACCATACTGTTGTCTGTGTCTATGAGCTTTTTTATTTTTGCTTAATCTCTTCACCTTTTTCACCCAGTTCCCCAAACCTGCTCCCCTCTGACAGCTGTCAGTCCGCTCTCTATGAGTCTTTCTATTTTGTTTGTTCATTTATTTTGTTCATGAGATTTCACATATAAGTGAAATCATATGGTATTTGTCTTTCTCTAATGGACTTATTTCACTTAACATAGTGCTCTCCAGGTCCATCCATGCTGTTATGAAGGGTAAGATTTCCTTCTTTTTTACAGCAAGTAGTGTTCCATTGAGTAAATGTACTACAGCTCTCTTATCCACTCATATACTGGATAACAGCACTTGGGCTGTTTCCAGATCTTGGCTATTGTAAATAACACTGCATTGAACATGCAAGTGCATATATACTTTCAAATGAGTGTTTCAGGTTTCTCCACATAAACTCCCAGAAGTGGAATCATTAAGTCATAAGGCAGTTCCATTTTTAATGTTCTGAGGAAACTCCATACTGCTTTCCACAGTGGCTGCACCAGTCTGCATTCCCATCAACAGTGCGCTAGGGTTCCTTTTTCTCCACATCCTCGCCAGCACTGATTGATTCATTGTTTGTTGATTTATTGGTGTTAGCCATTCTAACAGGTATGAGGTGACATCTCATTGTGATTTTTTTAAAGATTTTATTTATTTACTTTTGGGGGGAGAGAGAAAGAAAAGGAAAGAAATAGCAATGTGTGAGAGATACACCGAGTTGCCTCTCTAATGCCCCCAGCTGAGGACCTGGCCCACCAACCCAGGCATGTACCCTGTCTGGGAATCAAACCAGCAACCTTTGGGTTCGCAGGCCCGCACTCAATCTGCTGAGCCCACCAGCTGGGGTTCATTGTGGTTTTAATTTGCATTTCTCTGATGATTAGTGACATAGAGCATCTTTTCATATGTCTATTGGCCATCTGTGTGTCCTCTTTGGAGAACTGTCTATTCAGGCCCTTTGCCCATTTTTAAATTGGATTGGTTTTTCTTTGGTGTTGAGTTGTATGAGTCCTTTATAAATTTTTTATATTAATCTCTTATCAGATGTATCACTGGCAAATATGCCTTTCTATCCAGTGGGTTGTCTTTTCATTTTGTTGATAGTTTCCTTTGCTGTGCAAAAACTTTTTAGTTTGATGTAGTCCCATTTGTTTATTTTTCCCTTTATTTCCCTTGCCCAATGCCACGTATCAGAAAAAAATATTGCTATGACAAATGTCCGAGATTTTACTGCCTATGTTTTCTTCTAGGATTTTTATGTTTCTGAGTCTAATATTTATGTCTTTAATCCATTTTCAGTTTCTTCTTGCATATGGTATGAGAAGATGGTCTCATTTCATTTTTTTGCATGTATCTGTCCAATTTTCCCAACACCATTTATTGAATAGACCATCTTTACACCGTTGTATGTTCTTGCCTCCTTTGTCCAATATTAATTGGTCATAAAATCATGTGTTTATTTCTGGGATATTTATTCTGCTTCATTGATCTATATGTCTGTGTTTAGGCCAGCACCAGGCTCTTTTGATTACTATGGGCTTATAGTATATTTTGATATCAGGTAGCATGATTCCTCCAACTTTGTTCTTCTTTCTCAAGATCGCTGTGGCTATTTGGGGTCTTTTTGGTTCCATATAAATTTTTGTAATATTTTTTCTAAGCCTGTAAAATACATCCTTGGAATTTTCATAGGAATCACATTTGATCCATAGATGGCTTTGGGTAGTGTGGACATTTTAATGATGTTAATTCTTCCTATCCATGAGCACAGTATGCGCTTCCATTTGTTTTCTCTTCTTCAGTTTCTTTCTTCAGTGTCTTATAATTTTCCAAGTACAGGTCTTTTGCATTCTTGTTATACTTATTCCTAGGTATTTTTAATGCAATTGTAAATGAGAATGTTTTCTTAGTTTTCCTTTCTGATAGTTCATTATGGGTGCATTAAAATGCAGTTAATTTCTGGATATTTATTTTGTATTCTGCTACCTTATTGAATCCATTGATCAGTTCTAGTAGTTTTTGATGGAATCTTTAGGGTCCTCTATATACAGTATCATGTCATCTGCAAATAGTGACAGTTTTAATTCCTCCTTTGCAATTTGAATGCCTTTTATTTCTTCTTGTCTGATTGCTGTGGCTAGGACTTCCAGTACCATGTTGAATAAGACAAGTGAAAGCAGACATCCCTGTCTTGTTCCTGACCTTAAGGGAAACGCTCATAGTTTTTACCCATTGAGTATGATGTTAGCTGTAGGTTTTTAATACATGGCCTTTATTATGTTGAGGTGTGCTCTCTTTATTCCCATTTTGCTGAGTGTTTTTTTTCATATATGGGTGCTGGTACTTTATCAAATGTTTTTTCTGCATCTATTGATATGATCATGTGATTTTTATCCACATTTTGTTTATGTGATATATCACATTTATTGATAGGTGGATATTGTATCAGCCTTGCATCCCTGGAATAAATCCCACTTGATCATGATGTATGATCTTTGTAATGTACTGCTGGAACCAGTTTGCTAATATTTTGTTGAGGATTTTAGCATCTGTGTTCATCAGGGATATTGGCCTCTAATTTTCTTTTTTTGTAGTGTCTTTATCTAGTTTTGGAATTAGGATAACGCTTGCCTCCTACAATGAGCTTGAGTCATTTTGAAAGATATTTTCACTGGATATTAAATTCAACGTTGAGATTTTTTTCCCCCCATAACTTTAAAGATGTCATTCCTGCCCCTGCTGGTGGCTCAGTGAATTGAGTGCCGGCCTGTGAACTGAATGGTTGCCGGTTCAATTCCCAGTTGGAGCACATGCCTGGGTTGTGGGCCAGGTCCCCAGTTGGAGGTGTGCTATTTCTCTCACTCTCTTTCTCCCACCCTTCCTCTCTCTCTCTCTAAAAATAAATAAATAAATAAAATCTTTAAAGAAATAAATAAAGATGTCATTCCTAGCATACGTTATACTCAAGAAGTCAAACATAATTTTGACATTTTGGTGGGGTGGGGAGGGCAGTGCTCTTGTTGCATTTCTGAAGAAATAGATATTTGGAAGTTCTTACTGTGACATTCCAGAGTGCTTCTTGTCCATCTCATCTTGCATCAGTGAGAGAGAAAACTTTCACCTGCCTTCCAGACAGGGTCCTGTTGTATAAAGTACTTCTAACACTACCTGGTACACAGTAAACACTGAATAAATGTTAGATAGTTCGCTCTATCTAGGTCAGTGATTCTGAGGTAAGGTCATTTGTTGATTACAAGGGGAGGGGAGGAGAGTGGCCCAGGTTGGCATAGCCTCTAGAAGAAATGGGGGAGGGAGGAAATCAAGGACAAGTAGAAGGATGGTGAGGTGGCACTAGAACGAGAAACAGAGCTGCAGGAGGCAGGCAACTGTAGAATCATATCAGAGTTTGGGATCTGCAGAGCAGGTGGGTCAGGAAAGTTGTTGAAGGTGCCGTGGAAGACTAGTTCAGGCTGTGGAGGCGCCATGCATAGGGGATGCAGATGCAGCCAGAAAGCTCCTGATGGTTTGGGAGGAAACCAAGGGGTCAAGATCCAAGAGGACTCCACGAGACTAAAGAGGAAGTGTAGTGGAAGTGCAGAGAGAGGAAGTTAAGAACCTGGGCGGGTAAGAGGTTGGAGTCACAGATGAAGGTGTTAGAAGGTCTGGAAAAAGCCATAGTTTGAAGAAAGAAAGACACTGGCTCAGAGGCAAGCAGAAACTGGACGCCAAGTTGGGGAATGAGTAAAATGGTGAGAATGGGGGGATGGCCTACAGGCTTCTTCTGGTCTTGAAATCATTTTCCTGTTCTTATAGAGGCCGCCCTTCTGGGAGGCCAAGAAGCTGTCGGGCCCTGATCAGGAAGAGGCTGAGAATCAGAGAGTACCAACACTGAAAGAGCTGTTGAAGGAAGCGGCAGCCCTCAATCTCTCCATTATGTTTGACTTGCGCCGCCCCCCACGGAACCACACATACTATGACACTTTTGTGAACCAGACATTGGAGACTGTGCTGGATTCAAGGGTGCCTCAAGCCATGGTGATATTGCCAGGATCCCATGTGCCCTTCACCATCCGCCCCCAGCGCCCACCTTCCCTAGGCCACAGTGATAATCTTGAGCTACCCCTGCCCCAGGGCCCCACCCCAGTTTATGTAGCCCATCCTGTGATCAAACCTGTATGCTCTGCCCCTGCCTCTGGAATCCCCAGGCCTTCCCCAGCTTTATGCTCATCCTCCCCGAACCACAGGTCCTGTGGCTCCCGGATGAAGATCGGGCTACTGTTCAACAACAGGCACCTGGCATGCGCCAGGTATATGGACAGCAGGGAGTCAACACAACCGAGAGGCCCCTGTTTCTCAACCTCCCCTATCAAGACCTGCCACAGTTGGATATGAAGTGAGTACCAGAGGCCAGCCACCCTGGGGGTCACCTGTGGCTAACAGCAGGGAAGAGCCAATGCAGGGAGGGCAAAGACCATTCACTCATTCAGTCATACAGCAATTATCTACCACACACTTGCTATGCGTCGGGCACTATTTGTTGCAGACTTTGGACGTACAAGTCAAAGAGAAAGACCACAAACCACTGAACCAAATATATGCCTATTGGACACCAATAAGTGATATGAAGATAATAAGATGTGGGGAGATGCAATAGAGCAATTGGGTTTGAGGGTGAGGGGATAGGAAGGGGTCACATTAGGAATAACAGTTAAAGAGGTGGTGTCTGGGCTGAGACCTGATGGGTCACAGGAGCAGATGACAAGAAGAGCTGCAGAAGAGCAGGAATAGCAGCCTGACGAGCACAGGGGAAGCGAGGCTGGAAAGGCAGGCAGGGGCCACATTGGGAAGAACCTTGTAGGCCATTTAGCTTTCATTCTACACCAGAGAGATAAGTACAAGAGAGGATGGATGCAGGGGAGAGAGGTGAGAGTGTTGCAAATGTGACCTGGGCCCCAAAAGCTGACCCAGCCGGTAAATATGATGAACCTCAAAACATTCCACTGCCAAGATCTCTTCTAATGTTCTTGTGTTCAGACAAAAAATGGGGACCAATTGATAGCCCAGTTATCATAAGTATGTCAAGGACCTTTCCCCCCAAGTTGTCACCAAAGAGGAAGCCATGAAATTGGGTTTGGCCCCCACCTTAATCTTGTCCTGGTCAGCATCAACTGCTGATCACATTTTAAATTTTTTTTTTAGTTTTTTTTTTGAGGGAAAGGAAGGGGAGGAGAAAGAGAGGGAGAGAACATCAATGTGTGATTGCCTCTCACATGCCCCCTTCTGGGGACCTGGCCTGCAACCCAGGCATGTGCCCTGACTGGGAATTGAATCAGTAACCTTTTGGTTCGCAGGCCTGTGCTCAATCCATTGAACCACACCAGTCCGGGCTGATCACATTTTTAAAAGATCTGAATTGGTAATGATCACACTGATGATGAAATGAAGGCCCCAAAAGGTCTAAGCACTCTGAGATGACGGGCCAAATGTACCGAGATGAAATGCAACAGGGATAGATGGAAAGGCCTATATTTGGGGCCCAAAAGAGGCTCAGTTGCACGAAGACAAGAGATGAGACACTAGCATCAGCAGGAATATGTGAAAAGACCAGGGTTTTGACTGAACAGTGCGCATAACAAGTCATCCATGCCACATCACATCGCTGAAACTAACCTGTCCTGGGCTGCCTTCACACAGGCCTGAAGGCAGGAAGAATATGGCTCTCCTCAAAGCTTGTGCACGCCACCTGGATATCGTGTGCAGCTGCAGACCCCATACTTTGCAAGGCACACTGATAAACTGGAGGAAGATCAGATGAAAGGAGTTTATGCGGTGAAGGAAGTGATAAGCCAGGTTCCAAGCGCCAGGTGAAGGAACTGCGGCTGTTGGGCCTACAAAAGAGAAGGTTCAGGTGGACACAGTCACTGATCCTCAGACTTCTGAAGGGCTGGCCGGGGACAAAGAGGAGAGACACATTAGGGTAGCCCCAGACAGCAAAGCTGGGAATCTACCAAAGAGAGTAGAGCTCTGCAAAGAAAATCACCTTTGGTCAGGAGCTGCCAAGCAAAGGTGGAACAGAGAGCTCCTTGGCAGTGACACTGTAGACTCAAGCCAAATAGGGGCTGCCTCCCACACCTTGTGCTCCACGAGCCTGTATGTTCCCTGTTTTTTTTTTTTTCACCTCCTTAGGGCACTGCATAAGGATAATGTCTCAGTGAACCTGTTTGTAGTGAACAAACCCTGGCTATTCTCCCTCCTCTGGTGTGCAGGGGTGAATTCGGTCACCACCAACGACTGCCAGCTGCTGCAGCAGATGCGTTACCCCGTCTGGCTTATTGTAAGGGCTCTGAGAATGTCACTCTTCCCTGCTTCCCCTCAACCCTGTCCCTCTCTTCCTTACTTTCCCCCATATACTACCTTTGGGGCTCTAGCCACTGACCGGGGCCTATTCTTATTCCCACAGGCCCCTCGAACCTACCTAATAGTGTGGATCGTCACTGATTGTATCTCCGCCCTGCTGATTTTGTGTCACTTCATCCTCTGTGGGTGAGTGCTTTGGGCCTCAGCTTTCTGGATCTTTATTCTCCCCAGGGGCCTGGCGATAGGACTGATTCAGACTCGTATATGCTGCCTGGGGTTTGGGATCAGCTGTGTTTGGTTCCTTTGAGGTCCTTAGACTCTTTCTTGGACATCAAATTGGCTTGAACCTGGGAAAAGCATTTTGGGGAAACTCAGGGTCACAAAGTTGTGCCTGAATCTGGCTGAACTCACAATGGGAAGCTTCTCTCCCTGTAGGAGATGTGTGGAGAAGAGAGAGCGAACTGGTAAGAACTTTCTTCCCTCCGCTTCTTTTTCTTGTCTGCTAGCCTTCCCCTTACTCATCCCTGCTGTGCCCCGCTCCCCTCTCCAGGTTTAGAAACAGCTGTGCTGCTCACCAAGATCAATAATGTCGGAAGGGAATGAATGCCCTGCCCTAGGCCCGCACCAGCTGTTTACGCCCGCCAACGGCAAGGACGGGAGGATGGCTGAGGTGGAGTGTTGGTAGTGTTTGGGGTAAGGCGAACTTTTCCAATGGGAGGTTTTGAACTATGAGCACCCTCTGCCCAGATGGTGGACTTGCCCATGGAATATGCTCCCCTTCAGATTTTGACCTGAGTTGGTGGTGGAAGACAGTGAGTCATGAAAAATTTCTCCCAAAGTAAAATGTTCTAGTACAGAGGAGATTGCCAACATCATGTTTCAGACTTGTGTGCATGTGTTCATGTATAGAAGGAACGGGGTGTGTCAGGGATGGGACAGCTTGGAACAGTGACTGAAGAGAAGACCGAACGTCCTTCTCAGACCTGTGAGACGATGAACACACCAATCCCACTCCATTCACCACCTCCCTAGACATCTGCAATGCAGCTGCTTTGCTACCTAGAGGCTAGAGGCTAAACAGCCCATCTAGCCATGAAGTTCTGTGTCTACATGTGGCTTTTTGCTGCGCACAGCCGTTTTCTTCAAGACTCGTCAGTTCCTGTTTCTTCTCAATCCCGTCTCTGAATAAATGTTATTTCCATTTGGCCACAGTCTCATCTTTTCAGCACTGGGGCTCAGCGGAGGATGCACCCTCCACCTGGGGTTGTATGTGACGTGACAGTGAAGGGTCCTCGTAAGGAGATACATAGGTTGAAGGTGGGAGTAGGAGCACTTGATGCAATGAAAGGCTGCAAGAGGAAAGCTGGAGAGCCTTTGCCTCGGGAGGCAGTCCGGGTGCCCCTAGGCGCGCTGTGCAGAGTTGCTTTCTAGCTCCACCTTGTGGTCACCTGCCCCAAGAGGCGGACCGGGTCGGTCATCCCCTTGGCAGGTTTGCTGAATGACACCTGTTTCCCCTGCCAGTTGGGAACCTGGGTCCTTGACTCCGGACCCTGATGTCATGGTCCAGTTTCCATAAGTTTTCGCTTCTCTGGGCTGCGCGTAGCATCTGGTTCCCCAGCCTGCCTTTCCTTGTAGGAGCAAGTTTCCCAGTGTGTTTCCTGCTCCTAAGTGCCTGCGCTAAATAGTCCAGGTGACTAGCGAGGAGCTGGTGTAGGATAAAGGGTCTCGTAGAAGGGGGTGGGGCGAAGACAAAAAGGGAACAGGAGGGGGATAGGCGGCTGACTTTTCACAATGGTTGTGCAGTCCCCCACTGCATAACATTCACCCAAATTCGTGTCTCCACACGAAGGCAAATCGAATTAAGGCTCTGGAGAGTTCAGGAGGTTCAGTTCCCCATTCTTCCCCTCTCGCCAGGCTGGGACCTGGGGCAGCACTAGCACCTGGGAACAAGCCCCTACTCAGTCGCAGGAAAGCCCCAGAAACTACAATTCCCAGGATGCCCCGGCCACTTCCGGTCGTTTGATTGAGATTGATGGAGGCGAATTTGAATTCGTGTCCCCGCCCCCCTCCTGGGGGACCCCGCCCCTTCCCCCTCACCACCCCCCCCTCCTTGCACACACTTGCACACGCACCCGCGCACATTCACACAGAAGTAGTTGTTGGCACCAACATACCTGGCCTGCAGCTAGCGCTGTGGGGGGGGGGGGGCACCGTGTGCGGTGCGCCGGCAAGCAGAGGCGTTCAGGAAGTGCGCTGGGGCTGTTGCAGGTCGGATCTTCCTGGGGTTCACACCTCCTGCTATCCCGCAAGTCTTTTTCATAAGTTACCTTTCCGGACTGTATATTCTTAGTTTTGCCTGTTCGCGATCCTGCCCCACAGTCAGGCCGACTTACAGCCTCAGCTCTGAGGTGCCCAGCCTGTCAGGTACTGCCAGCCTCTGAGCATATACCTCCTCTCCCCATCCCTTCTTTTTTGTCCCCTCCCAGTTGTCCAGCCTCACCCTGCGGCCTCTTCTTCCCCTCGCCTTCTGTCCTAACCCTGACTGCCTCCAGGATCTCCAGCCTCCTCAACTGCCAGCGCCCTAGCTCTGAGCTGTAGTCCGCCTACCCCAGCTTCTACACTCCCGACAGAATTCAGGACCCAGCTCCAACCCTTGACCCATAGCCCCTAGCCCCTAGCCCCTAGCCCCTAGCCTTGGGTACTCATCCCTGAGCCTGCCACTACAAATCTTTCCTATCTTCCCAGGAGTACTGAATAACACACTTACTCTCTGTGAGACCCTAGACTGGAGACTGAAACGGACAAACACTTGAGGGCAGAGGGACAGGGGGAGCAGCTCATTGGGGTTCAGGTGTAGTTGCTCTCAGTTATTTTTAGCTACTGACTCACAACGTCTGGCATCTGGGTTTGGGGCAACAAGACTGGGCTGGGGGCTATTAATAGAGCTGAGGCACAGTCCCTACCCTGTTCAGTTTGGAAGCACATGGAGCCAGGAGCCTCCCCCTGCCATCATGCCCTGTGCAGGTGTAGTGGACTGGGGCAGTGGCTGGACCAGTACCTCTCTGGGTGCCAGTTTCTTAGTGTGATATCTCTACCTTGCAGTTCTTGCGGGAAAGCTCACCATGAGACTCCTAGGCACAGCTCTCCACTAAACTTGCATGGTTTGGGCTCTACTGCAGTGATGCTCCTGTTTTACTAGGTGAGAGTGAAGAAACAAGTCCAAGCGTGGCCTTGGCCTGCCTAGACCTACTCCTGGGTCAGAGTACTAGGTTACTCAGAGAAAAAGCTCTGGATTTCTGGTCCTCAAAGGCTCTCACGAGGATAGGGTGTGCAGCATGGTCAGAAAAGAGAGGGAGGGCACAGAGCCAGGAATTTGCTAACCCCAAACCAGACACAGCAGTAGGAAGCTGCCTAATTTTTTGTTGACCATCCTTGCATTCTTCTTTTTATTTTGTCCTCTCTCATTAGGCTCTGTCCCTACTCACAGGGGTCAACAAACCTCAGGAACTCTCTCTACTCTATAGAGAGAACGAATTCAGGAAAGCTAGTGAGAAACTTGTCTCCACAAAGGTGGAAATGATCCTTTATACAGGGTCCAGGAGAAGTAAGGCCTGCTTGAGTGTGGTTGGGAGGATAATAATATGGGTGTAATGATTTATAGTTTCAATTTGAACATTTCACCTAAAATGTTATATGGTGTGTTTGAGTGTGATACTGTCATGTTACAGAATGACATGCTTATGATTTTGTAATAAAAGAGTTTGTAATAAAAAGAGGTGTTATTCATTCCAGACCCTGTATATTGGCATTCCTATGAGGCCTTTTTATTCTAATAAGCTAAAGTAGCAGTTCTCTAATTTATACATTGGGAATCATGGGGAAATCTTGATACCTTACTGGACTAATCACCCAAATTTTTCTCTTCTACACCCAGTTCGCTAGAATTCCCATAGACCAAGGATGCACACCCACAGCAATGCCCCCTCCTTGCAAACCAGAAACTTCTGCATTCAGCACCCCCAGACTCTGGCTTCCAGGTGCACCCAGATAGCTTTGGGGCAAAGGTGATTGTTTCTGCACATCCAAGGACTGAGGCCACCCAATAAAGAAATTCTTCACTATACTTTAAAGAATAAGCCCAAGTATTCGGACAGCAGCGGGCTGTGCTGCCCCAACTCCATTAATGTACTCAGGGCGCCAGAGAGACAGTGGATGGGATGAGAAATGGTCTCCCTCCTCCTCCCCAATCCTTTCCCGTACTCATCCATTGCCTCAGTCAGTGCAGGCCTTCCGGTTGCCTAGCAACCACAGCGCCTGCCAGGGCACGGGACTTCTTTTGGCCTGTAGGGGGCGCCTGTATTCCTGGGGCCTCAGCCTCAGCAGTTGGGAAGGTTTTCAAGTGTCAAAGCATTTCAGGCTTCTCAACCCAGTCCAGTCTGAGTCTTAGGGCCTGAGGAATGGGGAGAAGCCCAGTACGAATCTCAAGGGATTTTACTCAGATTCATAAAAATGAAAAGATGAGAGAGAGAGAGAACCAGTCAATAGGGATGGGGTGTGGGGAGGATAGTTTGACCCTCTCCATTTACTGCAGGCTCAGGAATGCTTATTGCTCAATCAGAGCAGTTCAGAGGGCCCAGGCTATATATAGGGTTTTTTCCCCTGAACCATTTTTAGGTAGTAGAAAAAGAGTCTAGCAGTCTATATTGACAAACTGCTTAGCATAAAAAAGACTTTAAGCTCCAAGCTTACCAGTTTAGCCTAGACTTGGTCATAAAGGAAGATATTTATTCATTTGTTCATCCAACACTAGTAATTAACCCTAACCCAGTGTGTCTCAGGTGGCATGTTAAGTGTTTTACATTTAATCCTTACAAAACCCCTATGATTATTTCCATTTCACAGATCAAGAAATTGGAGCTCAGAGAAGCACAATCACATCCAAAGTCACACAACCGGTGACTAGGTTGGGTCTCACTGAGCAATCACCACGTGCCAGTGTCCAAGACTATAGAAAACAAGACACCCTCTCTTTTCTCTACCTGATGAACACCTCTTCACCCTTCCTGATCAAACTACAATGCCATGTCTTTTGAAAAACTTTTCTTATATCCTCCCCCAACAAGTAGAGTTGATAACTTACTTTTCTGCATGCTCCTCTGAGATAGCATTTTTCACAGGGATGGAAACAATCAGCTTCCATATTTCTTTTTAAAAAAGTAAGATTTTATTTATTTATTTTTAGAAGGGAGAGGAGGAAGAAAAAGAAGGAGAGAAACATTAATGTGTGGTTGCCTCTCATGTGGCCCCTACCAGGGAGCTGCCCACAACCCAGGCACGTGCCCTGATTGGGAATCGAACTGCCACCCCTTGCTTTGTGGGCCTTCACTCAATCCACTGAGCTACACCAGCCAGGGCAGCTTCCATATTTCTATTTCTCTAACTTTGAGCACCTCAGCAGCAGGGCCTTTTTACTATATTCATCCTCACTTGGATGTCTAATCGACATCTGCAAATCAACATATCCAAATCGGAACACCTGCTCTTTTCTCCCAAAACGATCCCTCCTAAAGTTGTCCTCATCTCAGTCGATGGTAATTTAATCTTTCCCGTTGCTTTGATGAAACACCTTGGCGCTACACCTCATGTCCAATTCATCAGCAAATCCTGTTGACTCTCCCTTTAAAATACACCTCGAATTTGCCCTGCCCAAGTGGTTCAGTTGGTTGGAGCATCATCCCATGCACCAAAGGGTTGTGGGTTTGATCCCCGGTTGGAGAACATATGGGAGGCAACCAATCAATGTTTCTCTCTCATATTGCTCTCTCTCTCTCTCTCTCTCTCTCTCTCTCAAATCAATTTAAAAAACATATCCTCAGGTGCAGATTAAATATATATGAGGTCTTTCCAGAAGGTATCCAGCCATGTAATATGAAAAATTGAGACATGTATTGAACAAGATACAAGAAACATTGTACCTAAGACGATGGCACCTCAGTCCCCTTCAAAGTAGGCACCTTGGGACCTCACACAGTTCTCCCAGTCGCCATCAGCTGCCTCATTGTATTTTCCTGAATCTCATCAACCATCTGAAATCTCTTCCTTTTCAAAGGTGATTTTAGTTTTGAAAAAAAGCCAGAAGTTGCAGGGTGCCAAATCTGGGCTGTAGGGGGGCTGAGTCACCTGGGTGATTTGATGTTTTGCCAAA